TAATAATTAATTAATTTAATTAAAATATGTGATATTGATTCCAAAATTAATATTAATTTTTTTATTTTTATATAAATTAATAACTAAAAAATATATTAGTTAAATTTTTAAGGCAGAAATTGAAAAAAATCATCCCAAAATATCACTTCTCCCGGCAAAGAAATTAATATTAATTTTTTTATTTTTATATAAATTAATAACTAAAAAATATATTAGTTAAAAATTTAAAGCAGAAATTGAAAAAAATCATCCCAAAATATCACTTATCCCGGCAAAGATATTTTTGCCATTTTTTAAACTCTCTAATAATCTTCCAAACAAAAAGGAGAGTACCAAAACGTCATCGTTTCATACATTGTCCTCGGCCCTAACCGTACTTCTGCCAAGATTTTATCCACTCGTATATCTCCACGTGTTCATGTGACGGCGTTCAGAACTCCGGAGGATATTACGCTTTCTTGATTTTCTCGCGTTATTTTCAGACAAGAAGATAGGTCCCAACGGTGACCAACCTCATCCGTTCCTTAAAAAAAAAGGCATGCGTTTTTACCTTCCTACCCTTGACAAGAAATCAGTTTTAAACACAGTATAGTGGTAAATTGCTCATTAACTTAAGGAGTTTTAAGTAAATTAATACCGGTAATATCCAACAGTCCAACACGTGCAAGGATACGATGGTAATTACAAAATGTCCGAATGCACTTTTCCGTCTCCGAGCCTTCCCTCCTTTCCTCCGTTTATAAATACTATTCCCACCCACCTTTCCCAAGATGCTACGGTTCTCAATTCAAACTTCATATTTCCGGTTTCTGTTATTCAAGATCAACTGTAAGTGTTTTAGTAATTCATCTATATTCTTAGCAAAAAAGAAAAGGAAAGAAAAATATTCATCATTTTTTTCTAGTTTTTCTACGTTTCATTTCATTTTTTTCTCTGTTCTTCGATTTTAAAGATTAACAGAGCTGTATAACTTAGTGAAGCATACTACAATTGTTGTTTGATTCATATATTTGTTAGTAACCATGACTTCCGGCCCTTGTATTGGAATTGCCACCATGAAACCTCGTTGTAGCATCATAATTGGCTCTAGTAGCTCTTTGATTTATGGGTTTTCTCCCCCTAAATCAAATCCTTCAGCTTTCCACAATTTGTCGAAATCACAAGCTCATATGTCGATTGATAGGAGTGGATTCCAATTTTGTGTTTATGATAAGGCACAGCCTGTAGGATATACTTGTGTACTGAATCGGAGGGGTTTTAGCTTGTCCGGTTCTAATAGGGATCAGTCTTGGGGGTTTACGCGTAATTTTCGTGGTTATAAAGGTAGGTCTAGGGGGGTTTTAGTGATCTCGAACGTAGCGTCTGATTTTAGGAACCATTCGAGCTCGGTTGAAGCTAATGTTGGTGAGAAGGGTTTTGAGAGGATTTACCTTCAAGGAGGGTTGAACTTGAATGTAGAGCATTTGGTCATTGAGAGGATTGAGACGGGTGGTGAGGTAGTGAAGGAAGATAATTCTGGGGTACAGGTTGATGAATCAGGTGTAAATATAGGTGACTTGAGGGGTTTGAACTTGAATGAGAAGAAGGTTGAGAGAGAATTGTCAAAGATTGAGAAAGATGCGTGGAAGTTGCTTCGTGATGCAGTTGTCACATATTGTGGGAGTCCGGTGGGGACTGTTGCAGCTAATGATCCAGCTGACAAGCAGCCTTTAAACTACGATCAGGTCTTCATCCGAGATTTCGTGCCCTCGGCACTTGCTTTTCTTCTTAATGGAGAAGGGGAGATTGTGAAGAATTTTCTTCTCCACACATTGCAGTTGCAGGTACTTATTGTTTTGTGTTAATAACACCATGTTGGTTTACTCTTTTGCTTGATTTTTCACTTGCACATTAAACATCGTGATATGGTTGAACTTATATTTGATTGTGCTCATTTCATGTATGATAATAAGACAGAATTAGTAACTCTTGTTAATATAATGGTTTTAGTGATGTCTAATTTTATCATGTTAAAAGTGCTTTCTATGTTAGAATTCTCAGTTCTTTGATGGTGCTTCTGTACTTGGTTTCTAGAGTTGGGAGAAGACTGTCGACTGCTATTGCCCAGGACAAGGGCTGATGCCAGCAAGTTTTAAAGTGAGGACTGCCCCTCTTGATGGGAGCGATGAAGCATTTGAAGAAGTTTTAGATCCTGATTTTGGTGAATCAGCCATTGGGCGTGTTGCACCTGTTGATTCTGGTGAGTTAATGTTCTTACAGTAGTCTTATTTCGAGTTCTTAATGTTCTAACATCAGATCCTATAATTGCTATGGCTCCCAATATTAGCAGGTCACATTAATTTATCATGTTAAAATTTTTATTGTGTGTATGGTGGAGTCATATTAAGATATTTGCCTTGGCCACAGGGTTGTGGTGGATTATTTTGCTGAGGGCATATGGAAAAATCACGGGGGACTATGGATTACAAGAGAGGGTGGATTTCCAGACAGGCATTAGACTAATCCTCAATTTGTGTTTAAGTGATGGGTTTGACATGTTTCCTACTCTCTTAGTCACTGATGGTTCCTGTATGATTGATAGACGGATGGGAATTCATGGTCATCCTCTTGAAATACAGGTAAGTTGAATATATTCATTATATTAACACTTCACTTCTCATTATGTCTGATTTCTGTTACACGATAACATTCTCCTTTTTGTAATTATGGATATTGAAGGGAAATCTTGATTTATCTTTTGTTCTTGCAGGCCTTATTCTATGCTGCTCTGCGTTGCTCCCGTGAGATGCTTATTGTGAATGATGCAACCAAGAATTTGGTTGCGGCTGTCAACAATAGACTTAGTGCACTCTCGTTTCATATGAGAGAGTATTATTGGGCTGACTTACACAAAATAAATGAGATCTATCGTTACAATACTGAGGAATATTCTACTGATGCCATTAACAAGTTCAATATCTATCCTGATCAAATTCCTTCATGGCTAGTGGATTGGATTCCTGATGAAGGTGGCTACTTCATTGGCAACCTACAACCTGCTCATATGGATTTTAGGTTTTTCACCCTTGGAAATCTTTGGGCCATCATCTCATCTTTGGGAACTCAGAAACAAAATGAGGGTATTCTGAATCTGATCGAGGCGAAATGGGATGACCTTGTGGCTCAGATGCCTCTTAAGATTTGTTACCCTGCTCTGGAGTATGAGGAGTGGCGTATTATCACTGGCTGTGACCCAAAGAATACGTGAGGCCTTTTTCATTTGCATTATCATGTCTTCCTTAATCCTTACTTTTCCGTTAATCAGCTGCCTCAGAAACTAACACCCTTCTTGCATGCAGCCCCTGGTCATATCATAATGGTGGATCTTGGCCAACACTTCTGTGGCAGGTAAAAACTACACTTGATTAATTTTGGTTTTTCTAGACGTATCAGCTACCCAGTCATATGTCTCGGTCTTCTTGCATTGGGGGCTGTATTAAATGGTCTCAGTTGCTAAATTCTTCATATATAAATATGCTACTTGGTTTTTCAGTTTACATTGGCCTGTATCAAGATGGGGAGGCTGGAATTGGCACAGAAGGCCGTTGCTTTGGCAGAGAAGAGAGTGGCAGTGGATCAATGGCCGGAATATTATGACACAAGAAATGGGAGGTTTATAGGCAAGCAATCCAGGCTTTTCCAGACATGGACAATAGCCGGTTTCCTAACCTCAAAGGTGCTGTTGGAAAACCCTGAGAAGGCATCTCTGCTCTGCTGGGAAGAGGACTATGAGCTCCTTCAGACTTGTGTTTGTGCCCTTAGCAAAACTGGTCGAAGGAAGTGCTCACGCTTTGCTGCGAGATCCCAGATTCATAGCCAGCTATAATCTCTTCTTTAGAAGGCTTGCTAAAGTTGGTGGACTAGCAAGCATGGCAGGAAAGGGATCCAATTCTTACATTACACATATACAATACATACATAGAGCCTATAGGTAACCCCAACTAGCAAGGACCCTCTTATTTGTACTTAATTTGTAACATTATGATTATCATTTATTGACAAGTACATGACTGATTCTGTTTGGATGGCTCGAATTTTTAGTGAGCCACTCACATATAATTATTTGTAAGACTGCTTCCTTGAATAGTACGGTATCATGACTTATGATCATTTGAATAATTGTCATCATTTTTCTTCGACTTCAAGCGTCCTATTGTTCCTGAAACAAACATGCTCATCATCAATATTTTTTTTCTATGGGAAAAAGGAAAGAAAAAGATATCTATGTTTCTTTTTTGAAAAAAAGAAGAATATTGTACCATTTGAATTATATTAAATTATATAATATAAATTATTTAATATATAAGTCTTTGATATTATGAATATTCTTTCTTTTTGTAGTTTGTTTAAACTTCTTTTTTTACTTCTTTTTTTTTTTGTATTTAGTGGTTAAAATATTTTTAGATTAATTTACATATATCTCGAGATTAATTCTTGTTTAATTTAATAAAAAACAAGTTATCTACATTAAAATTAAAAAATTGATAAAAACCTCCTCAAAAATCAAATAATAAAGTAAAAAATAAATCTCCTTACTACTTAACTCACGTCTCCTTGGTTTTCATTTACTCAATCATTATTGTTTGTTTGCATAATTATTTTTGACGATGGCGATTTTATCCATTAAGTAAACTTCTGGGTAGTTTCGATTTTGGAAATGTGCCTGACCAGCCCAATATGGCCCACAATAGACTGAGCCCCGACCCAAGTTAACCAGTTCAATTCGGTCCCATTCAACGCACCTAATTGGGTCAACCAAAAAAATTTGAGCTCACGGTCCAAATTACCCCTCTTTACAAAAAAAAAAATCAAAATCAAAATCCCAGAGTAAAAGTGCAAATAAAGATTCCAACTTTGCACTTTTTTCTATTTAAGGATGTTAACTTTGTCAGATTTTAAATAAGGATATTAATTTTTAATTTTTTTCTAAATTAGGATGTTAACTTTCATTTTTTTTTTTTAAATAAGAATGTTAACTTTATCAGTTTCTAAATAAGGATGTCAACTTTCAACATTTTTTATTTAAGGATGTCAAGTTTTAACTTTTTCTATTTAAGGATTAATTGAATAGTGATGCTTACGTGGCTAACATATTTTTTTAGGTTAAATATTTGAATTGATCACTCGACTTTTATTTTTGAACCAATTCATCCTTAAACTTCAAAAAGTATCAAAAACGTCCTTCAACTTTAATTTTTAATTTCGTCTTTCCGTCAATTAAATGTTGATGTAGCTAATTTTTTTGCTAAGTGATTGACTATTTTACATTTTCAATA